GCCTTGGGGACCAGATGTCCCGAGTCCTGCCCACACTTCATGGAAGTCTTGTTCCCAGGAGCCACAGGCTGTTTGCTAAGAGCACAATTCCCAGAGGCCCCACTCATGCATCCAGAAGGATGACAGGCTTCTCAGGCAGGTCCATGGAGAGAGAGAGCCAGGAACGTGGGGGCTAAGGGAATGGATGGTGCCTCGTGGTCTGGAATGCTGAGATTCCTGGTTCTTGTGTTCAGGCCCTCATCTGCACCCTGCTTCACGGCCACAGTTCTCCCTTCAGCTTTTGACTCACCGCCCCCTCCTCATCCTTTAGCTCCACAGAGGCTTCCCTGATCTCTGCCCAGGTGAAGCCATCTCCCACCCCCAACATGGGCTCCCAGAGCCCTCATGTACATTTTCACAGACAGCCCTTAGCACAGCCGCAAACATCGGCTTATTGGATAGCTGGCTGATAAATGCCAGTTTCTCCCACCAGACCCTAAGCTCCAGGAGAGCAGGATGATATATTTTTTCCTCACCATGGTATTTCACAGCATCTAGCACAGTGTATCCATAGAATGTTCTTAAATGAGTTCATTCTCTTCACTCCTTCACACAGAAACCCTCTCTGTTCTCAGAGGGCTTAGGGTCTAAAAGACTCAGCTATTACACATTATGTCATTTAATCCTCACCCCAATTCACCTTTTTTTTTTGAGTCAAGAGTATCACTCTATTGCCCAGGCTAGAGTGCAGTGGCATGCTCATGGCCACCCCAACCTCGACTTGCTGGGCTCATGTGATCCTTCTGCCTCAACCTTCCAAGTAGCTGGAACCACAGGTGTGCGTTACCACGCCTGGCTAATTTTTTTTTTTAATTTATTGTACAGGCAAGGTCTTGCCAAATTGCCCAGGCTGGTCTTGAACCTGTAGACTCAGGTAATCCTCTCACCTCTGCCTCCCAAAGTGCTTGGGTTAAGGTGACCCTTCCACCTCAGCCTCCCGAGTAGCTGGTACTACAGGCATGCGCCACCACACCCAGCTAATTTTTAAATTTTTTTTGTAGAGATGCGGTCTAGCTATGTTGCCTGGGTTGGTCCTGAACTCCTGAACTCAAGCAATCCTCCTGCCTTGGCTTTCCAAAGTGCTAGGATTATGGACATGAGCCACCGTGCCCAGCCCCAACCCACTTTAAAGATGAGGAAAGGAGCTTTAGAGAAGAGAAGTGAAATCACCAGCCCAAGGGCACAGCAAGTAAATGGCTTTGAACTCAGCTAAGTCTGGTTCCAGAGCCCCAACTTGGCCCATACATTACCTTCCCCAAGGGTCCTCTGAATCTTCCCTTACAAATCTTCCCCTGCTCCACAAACTGCCTAAGCTCAGGGCTGACAGGCAGAATTCACTCATTCATTCATTCAATCAAGCAATCGACTCATGAACTGACTGTGCCAGGCCCTACATGGGCTACCAGGAAACCACAGATGGATCAGAGCTGGAGGAGCCCTTCAAGAGGGCAAGGGCTTTTCTCCAGCCTGGGCTGCCCCCTCCTCACTGTCCTTGGGACTTTTCCAGCAGAAGCTGAGCCCCAGGCTGAGTAGGAAAGGAGTAAGTGCCAGCCCTCATCATTCCCCTTCCGCCAAGGACAGTAGCAGAAAATACATGAGCTGAATAAGGTGTAGGCATAGTCTTTAGGGCTTCATCCTCTGAGGAGGAGGGACAGGATTCTACCATCCTCCTTCCAGGTGATGCTTGATTGATTGATTTGCTTGCTTATTTATATTTTTTTATTTAATTCTTTTTTATCGGAGTCTCACTCTGTCACCCAGACTGGAGTGCAGTGGTATGCTGACAGACACAGCAGTCTCAACCTGCTGGGCTCAGGTGATCCTTCCACCTCAGCCTTCCAAGCAGCTGGAACTACAGGTGCGCACCACCACACCTGGCTAATTTTTTGGTTTATTGTAGAGATGAGGTCTCGCCAAGCTGCCTAGGCTGGTCTCGAACCCATTGGCTCAGACAGTCCTCTCGCCTCTGCCTTCCAAAGTGCTGGAATTACAAGGTATGAGCTACACACCTGGCCCAGGTGATACTTTGACTGTCTTTGACTGTTCCCTATCCCAGGCAGCTCTGGAAAAAGTTCTAGACTTGAAGTTACAAGACTAGGGTTCTAGCCATACAGGGCCTGATGTCATCTGTGGTACCTTAGGAGAACAAGTCACTTTGCCTCTCTCTGAACCACAGATTTCTCATCTGTAGGATGAAGGTGATAGCGATGATAATTTTTTTTTTTTTGAGTTGGAGTCGCACTCCTGCCGAGACTGAAGTGCAGTGGCACGCTCCCGGCCACCGCAGCCTCAACCTGCTGTGCTCCGCCTCAGCCTTCCAAGTAGCCGGAACTATAGGCGCACTCTACCACGCCTGGTTAATTTTTTTGATTTTTATTGTAGAGATGAGGTCTTGCCAAGTTGCCCAGGTGGGTCTCGAACCCGTGGGCTAAGGCAAGCCACTCACCTCAGCCTCCCAAAGTGCTGGGATTACAGGTTGAGCCACCAAACCCAGCCAGTGATGATAATTCTAATGGCTATCTCCCAGGGTTGTAGGTAAGGGCTAAGTAATTCAGATCCAGAGATACGGTGATAACACAGATGGTTGGCCAGGCCACTATGCTGTTTGCATACACTTGACAACACGATTTCCGGAAGGTTGTCTGAGAAGGCACCTAGCAGGCTGAGTCCTGAGATTCCCCAGTCCTGAGTCTCTCCAGAGTGGACGCCCAGAGGGGCTCCTCCTTGTTCAATGGTGATGCGGAAAGTGTGCTTACCAGTCATCAACCAGAAGGCCCCAGGGAAAAGGCTGGAAATGGGACCACTTTTCTCACACTGAGCACCTGGGGCTCTCCTAGAAAGAGTCATGTGCAGAAACCTGGAAATCTCAGAATCACAGCTACTCTTGGGCCCACCTTAGGACAAGTGCCTCCCTCAGGCTCCCTTCTTTATTTTATTTTATTTTTTGAGTTGGAGTCTCACTCCGCTGCCCAGACTGGAGTGCAGTGGCCGCTCCCGGCCACCGCAGCGTCGCCTGCTGGACTCCGGCAATCCTTCTGCCTCAGCCTTCCGAGTAGCCGGAATTACAGGCAGGTGCTACCAGGCCCGGCTGATTTTTTTTTTTTTTGATTTATTGTAGAGATGAGGTCTCGCTGCCCAGGCGGGTCTCGAACCTGCGGGCCAGGCAATCCACTCACCTTAGCCTCCCAAAGGCGCGGGATTACAGGCTGAGCCACCGAGCCCGGCTTGGCTCCCTTCTTTAATCACACTGGATTCTGCAGTGGCTGGAAAGTCCTTCCTCCTCATTATACAGACAGCTTCCATTTATTGGGTCCAGGCACCAGGCCAGCCGCATTATGCATGCTCTCTCACTGACACCTCAAAACAAGCCTATTGAAGAAGGTTTTATTATCACTGCATTCTATAGATGAAGCAACTGAAGCTCAAAGGGGCTAAGTGATTCGCCCAAGTCACAGAGCCAGTTCTAGCAGAACAGGGGTGAATACTTAGGGCGGCGCGACTCAAGACCCGCAGTGGGGAGAGTCACTCCCAAAAACATAGCAGAGATCAATCCTGCCTGTGCTTGGGGGAACCTTCCCACTGAGGCTGGTGATGAGTCACTGAGAGAGCAAGGAATCCTTGAACCCTCCCCTCTCTCTGGGTGAGCAAAGATTCCCAGATATCACTGATGCCAAAGCCCCCTAACACCCACACACCTCATCTGATACTTCAACGCACACGTTCTGCACTGCAGAGACCCCCATGCTCTGTCATTCATACTTTCCAATCAATGAGATTGGGTCTCTATTTTTCAGACAGGAAACTGAGGCAGCTGAGAGGTAGGGCAGAGGGAATGGTGTCCAGTCATCAGTGGTTGGGCTGAGACCACAGTTCATGTCTCCAACCTTTGCATCCGCTGTGTTGGCATGCGTCCTCATTCAACCAGCATGGAAGACCCATTTCCAACTCACAGTAAATGCCAGGGCATCTTTGTTGTTTTAAGGTGGGAATTTACTCTTAACCCTTACTGCCCATGTCTGAGCTGGTGGGGCTGTGTCAGGAGGGCCACTTCTGGGCAAGCTGAAGATGTTTTAGACTGAGAAGATCCCAGCACTCTCCATAATACCAAGAAGAGCACCTCACTTCCCAGGGTGAAAGCCCAAGCTCCACTCCAGCCCAAACAAACCACTGCGGCCTTTGGCAGAAGAAGAGACGGTTAGAGGAGGGGAAGAGAAAATGGGAGAGGGAATTTGTGAAGAGGCTATGAGGCCTCTCTGCATCACACCCAGAAATCCTGACCAGGTGGCCTCTGGGCAAGGAAGTCAACCAGCCATCCAACGCCATGCCCTGGATGGAACCACGGGCTCTCCACTGGCAAATGTGCACACACCCCGGCACAAACACAGGTCCCAAGACCACTCTGCACGCTCCTCTCCCCCTGGGGTTTCAGAGGTTTCACGAGAGGACAATACATCGTCCCAGGGGCCCCAACAGATGATCACCAAACGTGACTTGGTAAGTGCCCCCACAGCATGGGACAGACCCACAGCACTCTCCTGTGCCCCTACCTGCACGGTGCCCACACACAGCTGTCTCCCCAGAGGCCCATGAGCGTCTCCGCCCACCCCTATGGGTATGTTTCAGACGTCCAAACATACACCCGAGCTGTCACAAACAATCACCCACTCACAAACTGTGACAGACACACGAACTGTTGCCAAAGTGTCCCCAGAAGGAAGCAAGGGGATACCAAATGTTATTTAGTCAAGCGAGGTTCAACACAGACACACACACACACACACACACACACACGCAAGCACGCAGGAAAATACTCCGGCGTTCCCCGCGTGGACGCGGCCTCCCCGCGGGCCCCGGGAGCCCCCTGCAGGGCGCGCGGAGACCCGGGAATCCGGGGTCCCGGCTCAGGGTCCCAGGTGCGTGGTCCCCACCTCACCCGGGGCGCGGCCCCGCGGCAGACTCACCGGACGATGCCGAACATGACGAGCACGTTGCCCAGCAGCCCCACGGCGCACACGGCCGAGTAGAGCGCGGTGATGGCGACGGCCAGGGCGAGGGACGAGGCACTCCGTGCGCCCGGCGGCCCCGACGCGTTGGCGCCCGCGCTGGGG